ATACTCTGGGAAAACTGGCCTGAATAGTCATGTTTCAGTGATTGCTTAAAGCTTCCCAGTGAAGGGGCCAAGCGAATTTCAGGTGAGAGATTACTGTATTCCAAAGATGGGGAGTGACTGCCAAGAAGCGGTCACTTCCCACACCTGGCCTGGGAAGACTGTGTAAAATGGGAAGATCTCATAGTTAAGATGATAGATACATTGGAGAATGTCCTGATTAAAGGGCGAAAGAATCATATGAGATGTTTCCTGCTGTGATGGAGTAAGGGTGCATAATGGAATAATACCCCTTTTGTTTACATTTAGGGTCTTATGAAAACAATTCCTGTGAGTATTTAAGATATTATTTGTATTTCCTGAGAACATCCTTTATCTACCATAGGGGCTGTTGCCTGATCTTGTCTATCAGTGTCTAGAGGTATCTCAGTCATGGAGCAATACTTAATTTTGAAATGGTTTAATTGCAATATAAGCAGAGGCTTGACTAGATCTATTTGATATTGGTGTATTCAGTCACTGGGCTCAGTATTACAAGTGGTCAACCTTTCCATCAGCCCTAACATTATCCCTTAATGTAAGCCATGGTAGATCAGAAATCCTCAACCTGGAGATTCTTTTCTCTCTCCAGCTCCCTCAACAGCCTAGGTCTGCCAAAGGCATAAAGTGTTGAATGGTCTTGAGCTGTATCCTAACAGATATCAGTATCTATCTATCTAACATGTAAAACTTTAAACACAAACTTAATTTACTAAGAATCAAGATTCAGGAATGTATTTATGATTAGAGATGAGGGCATTTGTATTCATATATGAATATCCCCGCACAGGTGGCGTTAATGAGGGTCCAGCCCCATGGGGCCGGACGGTGAACTCACTGATCCAATGCGAATGGCACGATTTTTCCAATGACTCCACAGCGCATGATCCGCTCGCCACTCCTGGCAGGAGACAGGAGAACAAGCTTCACTGCAAGGTCGAAGAGTGGTGAGCGGATTGTGTGCTGCGGAGCCACTGGTAGAATCGTGCTGTCCGTGTTGGATCGGTGAGTGGACTGACCGGTCCCATGCATCTGGACCCTTCTTAACGCCACCTGTGCAAGAATATTTGCATATGAATACGAATACCCCCATCTTTAGTTATGATTACTGAAAGCCTGTTTTAAAAGGCAACTCTTCAGCTATTGATTGAAGAATAAAAGGGGGGGGGCGAAGCCTACCCTCCCAGGGGGACCACTCTTCCATCTGGGAACAGCGACAGGGATGACCCTCTAATACCAATGACTACATGTTTTTTATTGTTACTGTGAACTGATGGAGATGGCCATAGTGTGTTCCAAAGCATGGTGGAGTAACTATTTTTCCCTTTTTACTTTTAGGGTTTTAGTAAAGATTCATCTGTGAGTATTACATCTGCATCATCTGTACTGTCTTTTAATGGTAAAAGTAACCTTTGTTCATTTTCATGGATAAAGGCAGAGTAACAATCAATCAATCAATCAATCAATCAATCAATCAATCTAACCAACCAACCAACCAACCAATCAGTCATTCAATAAACACAAGCAAACAAACAAACATTTTCAATAGAAATGCAATCTAGGCCAGCTCTGGTGGTTAGCGACATTGTGTACCACCTATGCTATTTCACAATTTGTTCCTTTCTGAATGAGATAAATGCCATTGGTTTAGATCTGTGTTATATCTTTTCTTGATACGTAATTTTTGGAAGTATTTTCAAGATGTAAGATTATGATGAGCCACTAGATCAGTGGTCCCCAACCTTGGGCCTCCAGAGGTTCTTGGACTACAACTACCAGAAGCTGTCACCATGACCTCTGCTGGCCAGATTTCTGGGAGTTGAAGTCCAAGAACATCTGGAGGCCCGAGGTTGGGGACCACTGCACTAGATGGAATAAGCCAGTATTACACTGAATATTTTTTCTTGCACGTTGGAGAAGGCAGGGCAGCACATTTGTAAAACACCAAAAAACTTAGTACATCTTCAGATTGTACATCACTAATACAATACTAACCATCATCCAGCCCAAGATAGTGAGTAAATACTATAAATTCCTTTTAAAGAAACAGTTCCAAGCTCTGGGTATACTTCTGAAATTGGGAGCTTCACTGTAGAGCAGAGGTGTCAACCAATTTCATCTTGGGCTGCATTGGCATAGTGGTTGCCCTCAAAGGGCCAGCTGTATCTGTAAGACTATATAATCTACTCTTTATCATATTAAATATAATCCTCCTCATTTGATTATTACTGGTTTAGTAATAATGTAATAACTAGCTCTGAAAGTAAAAGTCTATAATCAAAGTCTAGAAATAAAGACAAGCAGATATTCAAGTGTACAACTGTTGTACAATTTATTGAAAAGTGATGTTGATGCCTGCTCAACAGCCCCACCCATGTTTGTTTGTTTTGTTAATTATCCACAGAAGTCTTCCACATTCCCTCATGCTTGCCATGGCCCTCGTCTCTCATTATCACTTGGCTTCTTACTGCCAATGAGCGAGAGGAGGTGGAGATGGCCACTGCTAGGCGATGCCATCAAACAGTCCTCACCAGAGGCATAAGAATGGAAGTGGGCAATAGCGAGGACTACATTTCCCAAGGTGCTGTACGCTTCCCAAGTGGCTGCGCTTTTTGGCTCTTCGCTGCTTGGAATGCTGGGATTAGAAGTCCCACTGGGCAGATTCCCAGCATCTTTGCAGAGCATTATGTAAGCGCATGCGTATTGTATGCTGCACAGTAGCAGGCAACACTGTGAGGGCTACATGAAACAGCCCAGCGGGCCTTGAGTTTGACACATGTGCTGTAGAGGAAGCAATTCAACCACCACAACAACAAAATCAACATGCTTCTAAAAACACAAGAAGAGACAGATGTGTTTTTTAATACTCCAAATCAATTTTTCTTGAGAAGATTGCGGCCCAGCGGGCCTTGAGTTTGACACATGTGCTGTAGAGGAAGCAATTCAACCACAACCACAACAAAATCAACATGCCTCTAAAAACGCAAGAAGAGACAGATGTGTTTTTTAATACTCCAAATCAATTTTTCTTGAGAAGAGTGTATTGACTGAACTAACATGCAAAGTCTGAATGCAGTTATGAAATAACAAATATGAGGATGCTGCTTCAGAAATAATGATGGAGTGACCTCCCTTATGTTTTTGTTTTTAAAATTTAGGACAGTTCTCAACCTGCACCTGTGAGTACTTCTGACTTTTCCGTAGTAGTTCTACGCTGCATAATATCTTTCAGTGAAGGGGGCATAGCTTCCTTTTCTAGCGTTGTCTAGATGTTTCCAAATTCCTGCTGGAATCCACCTCTTTTGCCAAAGCAAAATGAAGCACTGTGGGGCCGGGGAGTTTGGCCGTTTGTTTTGCTTTGTCCAAGTGGGTATCTCAAACTGGATTGTGAACCAAACTGTGAACCAGCCTGATTCATCAGTTTTTCTAGTTTGTGATTCAGTCTCTGCCTACCTCTAATTTTAGCTCTATTTCCCTTTCCAAGCACTGTATATATCTCTAAAATTTAGAGGAAGAATTTGAACAAATTCTACCAGTATGTCTGTAAAACACAAGAAGAATCAAAAGGGCTAATATCTATCTATCTATCTATCTATCTATCTATCTATCTATCTATCTATCTATCTATCTATCTATCTATCTATCTATCTATCTATCTATCTATCTATCTATCTATCTATCTATCTATCTATCTATCTATCTATCTATCTATCTATCTATCTATCTATCTATCTATCTATCTATCTATCTATCTATCTATCTATCTATCTATCTATCTATCTATCTATCTATCTATCTATCTATCTATCTACCTACCTACCTACCTACCTACCTACATACATACATACATACATACATACTTCCTTTTTATTCTGGACAAGCAGATTGGCTGAACTTAGAGGGCTAGTCTAAATGCCAGTGTGAATTAAGTTTGTTTATTTTATTTGTATCCTATATCTCTTCCAGTTGAGGGATCCAAGGTGGCCCATAAGTTACTAAAACAATCTAATTTAAAAGACTATAAATTATAATCTTAAAAATGAATTAATCAAATAATTATATAATTAAAAACTGTATGTTGCTTTAGAAAGACTCACTAAATGATAACCTTTTTTTTTAAAATGTAGAGCGGTGGGCAAACTACACCTGTGAGTATTCAAATCTCTTTGTAATAGCTAAATGGTGCATAATATCTCTCCTCCAAGGTCTCTACCTGTTTTCCTGTGTCACTGGCCTTCAGCTATGCCTGATAAAACAGTCTGATACTTAGGCTATATTCCCATTGAGGGAGTGAGGTTAACTGCAAAATAAGCATCCAGTTGGTTGCGCTTATTTTGCTTTGGTGAATCCAGTTATTCATAAAAGCTTTAATAAGATGTGTTAATTTCTGTTCCAGACAGAGCTTAGAGAAGCATACCTATGTTGGACTTTTATTTCCTTTCGGGGGGAGGGGCAAAAAAAATTCTTAAAGACAGCAAGAACTAATAATGTCATACACAAATCTCTTTAACTAACATGAATATCATTATTCCAGAAACATGGCATTATTTAATAGACTTATTTGCAGTATAAGCAGAGTTTTGGCTACTACCGGTACACTGGATACTTCAATGTATTCATCTTCTTTAATCCAAAGGCCATTCAAGAAAGGAAGGAAGCTATTGACCTCTACTCCCCTACACCTTGTGGCTTAAACTCAGAGTATTAGAAAAATAATATGGGTATATATATTCTTTTTTCACTGGGACAGAGATATTTGACATATGTTAGATTGCAAAGAGGGGAACACACCAGTGAAATTACAAACCATTTGCTTCAGCTATACCACAAAGTTTTAATAGTTATTTTTTCCCAAAGGATAAAATGGCTTTCTGATCAATTTGCTGAATATAATCACTGACATTTCACAGTTTTTGAGCCATGAAAATAATTTCTTTCTATGTGTTTCTATTCATATTTCAGAAAGCGCCTCTCCTTGGGGTGAGTATTACACACCATATTTCTTTGGACAATCTTTAATGAAGAAATAATGGTAATGAGTGGATATGTAACTGTGTGTCTTACAGTAATCTTCATACAATTTATTGGCAAGACTGAAATCCTATGGAGAAATACACTGGTATAACATTCTAATTGTGCCAAGATGGATGTGCTAGAAGCACTTCTACAGGTACATTGTGCAATAGGCTACAATGGGACCCGCATGGCTGATTGTGCAACGGCACACAATCCCTGCTACCTGGACATAATGCTCAGCAAATTTAAATGGGGATATTATTATATTATGTGAAGACAAAGAGGATTCTGGCCACTTTTTTAAAAACCTTATAGGAATGAGCCATTTCTGGCTGTAGAATTTGATTTGTGTTCTAGATTATGACGCACTTGTAAATTTCCTTTTCTTCATCACAGAATGGCATCTGGCCATTATGTTTTCAGTGGGGCTGAGGTTACACAACAATAATATTTAACTAAAACAAAAAAAATTGAGAAACTGAATGTTTGCTAATGTCTTAAGAGCATTGCTAAGCAAATGATTTATAGCAAAGGGGAGATAAGCTTAGAGTGCTGATTAGCAATGGACTTGCAGTTGGAAGACATTAGAGTGTTGATAGTGTAACTATTATAAAATTGTGGACTAGAATTTGAACAGGAATATTTACAGATAGGAAATTAAGTATTAGAAAAATGTCACACAGATCTAGCACTAAGATCTGGTTCCATTAGCTTCTGAGCCCTGCTATGAGTGTCACCAGCGCAAAAGGAATAAATGGTGGGTTAAACTCTGTTGGTGGCTTTGCTCTAACCTTTAGATCCATACACCTAAAAACTGTATATCTCCAAAACTAAATAGTAAGCAGTGGCTTTGAAGAGATCTGAAACTGGGTTAAAAGAATGCTTGCTTTCCATCATTCATATACATATTACTTTTGTACCAATTTAAAAAGAAAAAAAACTAGGGAAAGCCCCCTTGTCCCTCTAGTGACCACAGTTTTTAACAAGTGAATTTTTAAAAATTGTCTAGCGTCCAAGAAGTAATGAAAGATCACCCTAGCATGGCAAAACTACCTTCTTGTCCCCAATTTCCTCAACCTCAATTTCTTTAAAAAAGAGAGAAAAGGACTAACCGTTGTTTTCTCTATTTTAGCTCCTTGGTTAAGTTTCAAGAAACCTGGACGTGAGTATTGCTAGTTAACTGATATAAAAAAAGAGTATATACTGTGAAAAATCAAGTAGATAGAACAGGTAAATCAAACAGATAATAAAAGATTTTTTTGCCTGCATTTGGTTGAGCAATCTTTAGGCCATGTAGACAGACAGACAGACAGACAGACAGACAGACAGACAGACAGACACACACACACACACACACACACACACACACCTCCTCTCCAGTGTTTTTCTAATGAATATTGTGGATATTTTAAAACTATAAAAATATTTTGGTCTTCAGTGGTTTCCTCAGGTTTAATCATGCAAACCAAGATATTCACATATTTTCAGCTGTAATGAGTTAGGTCTGCACCTCTTAGCAGTTGTCTCAGCTCTTGTGAGCTAATAAGGGACGTTACATGGACCAACCTGGTTCAGACAGACGCTGCCCAGCAGGATGCTCCAAAATGGAGGACATGGTAAACTTTCTAACAGAACCTATCTCCTCTGTATGCAGATCTGTAGGATCAATATCTAAAGCCCTTAACAGCAGGGATCAAGAACCCTTCCCCTCTATGCACAGCTGGCACAAACTACTATATATCTTATAGGACCGCTAAATTTGTTAAATGAGCCATGGGAAGGCTGAACCTATTGCCTGCTTTATGAACTCTTCAAGTTAACCTCACATCTTGAGTCTTTTTTCTTTTCTTTTTTGAGCATACTGTTACATTTTATCACTGTTATTTTATCATGTTATGCCTTTTATGGCTGTCTGTATGTACTTGCGTGAGATGCCAAATACGATTTTATATTTGGTTTAATCTGTGTTATTGCGTATAGCCTGATCGGCTGCAAAGCATATTTGATATTCACATTCTTTTTAAAAATAAGCAAATAAAGAGAAGGATATAATTTCATGAAAGAATGGTAACAACAATTTAATGGAAATGAACCATGGACTGGACATGGGAGAGAGAAAAGGAGAACATCTACAAAGGTAGACATTTTAGATGGGAAGATCCGTAACAAAAGGTGACAGAGGAGTTTCATAGCTGTGCTCTTTATGAAAACAGTAATAATAATAAGAATAAGAAATAATAATAATAATAAGAAGAAGAAGAAGAAGAAGAAGAAGAAGAAGAAGAAGAAGAAGAAGAAGAAGAAGAAGAAGAAGAAAGCATGATACAGGAGAATTCAAGGGGCATGATGCTGTACAAATGAAGCAGTTTTAAGTGCCACTTAAGCATGAGTGTATTCAGCACAAAAGTTTCCGCTAGATGTGATAGCTAAAGGGCTACCACATGGCAGATTGAGGAAGCTTGTTTGTTGCTGCTCCAACTGGAAGTAAGTAAGATGGATTCAAATGACAAGAAATTCCAACCAAACAACAGGAAGAACTCCCAAATGATTTTTTAAAAAAACACCGCCTCCTTGATATTGGAATGGGCTTCCTTGGGAGATGATTGGCTTCCTTTCATTAGAGGTTTTTAAAAAAGACTGGAGGACCATTCCTCAAGAAAGCTTCAGCTGTGGGTACCTGCAATAGCAAGACTAAACAATACTTTAGGTGCTTCCAGACCTAGAGTTCCTTGATTCTATAAGATGTGATGATTCACAGCAAGAACTCTACTGGTTGAAACCAGAGTCTTGCTTGGTCAGCAAGCTAGTGCACTTCTGTAGCCCACAAATAAACCATTAAGAGAATAGTGCTCTTTCACTATGATTTTTCAATGGCTGGTGTTTAGAAACATGGAGTCTCTGATCCTGGCAATAGGTAGCCATGAATATTTTTACTCTCATGAAACTTTCTAGTCCCCTTTTAGAGATGGTGGCTTCAAGTATTTTCCAGCTTGTGGGATTTAAGCACAATGCAGGAATCAGCAGGACTAAGACAAGGCTTGATCCTGCCCAGAAAACAATGTCATCTGTTTAGGCATAGGTATTTAACTAGTTGACTTGGAATATTTATTTTGACCTGAATTATTTGTTTTCTCCTTCATAGGCCCATTGAAGGCTGGAGATACTGAGGTTTCCGGATGACATGGGGGAACACTTCTGGCTGTTGTGCATTCTTTGCTGCCACTCCAAACTAATTCTTCAATAGGGAATCATATCACAATAATGAAGATAATTATTAGCTTCCCAGACTACTGGATCACCACTAGGTGGATGGGATAAAAGTATAATAAATAAATAAATAAATAAATAAATAAATAAATAAATAAATAAATAAATAAATAAATAAATAAATAAAGCTAAATTGCATCAAACTACAATTCTGTTGCCTTTTTCAATGGAGGGCTAAGAGCAATAAAACTGCCTTTTTTGCTGTTCTGGCAGGTAGCAGAAGCATTGTTAGAATAAAGGAATATAGCAATTGCACTGACATTGCAGTTTGTCCTAAATAAATAAATAAATAAATAAATAAATAAAGCTAAATTGCATCAAACTACAATTCTGTTGCCTTTTTCAATGGAGGGCTAAGAGCAATAAAACTGCCTTTTTTGCTGTTCTGGCAGGTAGCAGAAGCATTGTTAGAATAAAGGAATATAGCAATTGCACTGACATTGCAGTTTGTCCTTTTCTTCCTTTTAGTTCACATAAAATCACAATTTCCTTGTAAGTTGCTGAAAAAGTTGTGGCCATAAATGCCACTTTTTTTCTCATTTGTAAATTTAGTAACATACAGCTATGATTAGGTAGAGTCTCACATACTGACATGGAGGTAAGAAATCTCATGTTCACTGTGGAGTGTTACGGTGATATCTGTTTCCTCTTCCAGGCTGGATAACAAATTCTGCTCACAATTTAATGATGTAATCCTGAACAGACTGTTGACACACAAGGCTCAACCGTGTTGATACCTGTTATTATCCGGTTGTGTAATTAATTTGCTTCACAGTACTGAAGATTGTTAGAAAAACTGTAAAAAGCTGAAGTGGAAGAAAAAGGAGAACAATGGAATTATTTTAGGATGTTTATTGCCAACAAAGCAAACAAATAAACACTCAGCAGAGCTCCAAGTCCTGTGTACCACCATCCAAGATAATTCCAACAGGGATGATTCCACTTGCTAACATCACATTTAGTGTGACCTAACAAGTTCACTGTAACCGCCTCCCCCAAAGCTATAGGATCTGCAATGGGGTCTTCCAAAGTGCAAGGCCTGGGATGAGGCAGGGTTTTCTTTTCCAAAAAGAGTAAGTCACACAGACCTTGACTGCAAATAATGAGTTTACAGTGTAATACCAAGTGCCTACCTCTTACTGAGGAAGGACCTCCTAGCTCATGGTTCTTCCCAAACTCCAGGACTTTAAGGAAAGATAGAGGCCACACTCAAAGGTGTCCTAGTTTTTCCCCTTTGGCTCTGAGAATGTGGTAACTGCTTTTTATGATAAAGGTGTCTTTGGGTGCTCATCTATGGTATCAGGTTTTTAAAAAAACTTATGGATCTCTATACGTTTTTTAAAAAACTACTTTGCTATGGATCCCCACTGTCCTCTTAAAATTGGCCCCCTTACAGATCAAGAAATGTGGTGTTTTTGTCATGCTGAGATGTGTCAGTTATATCACTTCTATACAACTACAAATCGGATGTTGCCCCAACCTCTCTGCCAGTTACCTTTTTGACTTTCCTTTTGGATTTATTTGGAAACCATGAATCACGTTACCTTTTCCATCTGAGCCAGGGAAAAAGCACTGACCATGTCATGAAAGTCCCACATCATTGCATCTTGCTCTCTTGAAGGTTAGTCATGATCTCATCAGCACATGCCTTCAGGAATGCAGGTCATTTGACCAGGTGAACCTACGAGTAAATAGAGACCAGTTGCATTTGAAAAGGAGTCCAAAATATGTCCTACAGTTTCCCTCTTCCTTTGTCAAGGGAATAATGTCCCAGTAACCAGTATGCTAAATCTCAAAAAAGACCTGGTATTCAAATCTTTGAGGATGTGCAAGGAAGGGATTTGGCTCACAATGGAATTTTTAAAATCTGGATTACAGCTTCACCTGTGTTGAGGAAATTTGTTTGTCAATGCAGGGTTATTTTAGACTACAAATGTATGATTCCCTGATCCAAATGAAAGTACAAACTCCAGACACATACACTGTGCCTGAAGTGGCCACACTTTTTCATGGACATATATTCCTATGTGGCACATGCATCAGTCAGTTTTAATGTTATACCTGGTATCTAATCATCATGAGATCTAAAATCTCAAGACCAAATGAGGAGAAGGTCTGGAAGAGACTACTATATTTCTCTCATCTTACATACTGGAGAAACGTAGTGTATGAATGAATGAATGAATGAATGAATGAATGAATGAATAAATAAATAAATAAATAAATAAATAAATATCATCTCACTGATCTTGTGAATAGTTTTATAAAATGATTGGCCTAATATGCTTCAGAAGCTCTGTGTTATTTCGTCTTGGTCAATATACAACATTAGAAGATACTTGCTGTATAAGAGGACTAGTCCATCAGTCTTCTGTTTGGAAAAAAAATCCTATAATTCCAAAATGCAAAGAGGGAAATATCACTGAAGAATGTGCAAAAGCAGCGATTCACTTTCCCCTCTTTCCTTCAAATGGTTCAAAGATTGAAGAAGACCACAGACTGACTGACTGACTGACTTACAAGGCAACATTTAAAGGCTAAAAACTGTAAGCATACAAATATTAATAAAGAATAGCACAAATAACACACTAAACAAAATCAACACCAAAGCAAAAAGGAATCCATTAAAAAAACCATCTCAGACAGCTAGCCATTAAGGGAAAGCCTGGCTGAAGAGAAAGGTCATCTGCTTGAGGAAGGACAGCAAAGATGGGGTCAGTCTGGCCTCCAGTGGGAGGGGGTTCCAAAGTCTCAGAGCAGCAACAGAGAAGGCCCTCTTCTGTGTCCCCACCAAGCACACCTGTGAGTATAGTGGGACTGAGAGATAGGCCTCCCGTGATGATTTCAGCACCCGGGCAGGTTCATAAATGGAGACAAGGTCCTTGAGATAGCTTGGACCCAAGCCATTTAAGGTTCCTGTAAAACCTGAAAGCATAGGGGTTCATGAAAAGCCTGGAACCAAATTTTCATCCACCCCTAGGTTTGTTTGCTAGGCTAGGAACCTGAGCACTAGGCAAAGTGGCGAGTGGTTAGAGATCAGCTTTTTGCACCATCAATTCCAAATTGCTGTCATTTTTATTTTAAAAGCCATTTTTGAACAAGTGCAGCTTGGACTGAACAGAATTTCACTGACCAGCACATTGCATTGTACAAACAGTGTTCAGTTCACCCCATCACGAGCCAGGTTAAAGATCCTGCCTCTCTCCTGTCTTCTTAAGTCTGCAAAGCAGTTTAATTGAGCCATGAGTGCTTTCGCTTATGGATAAATAATATTATATAACATTTTTACTTTTTTTCAACCAGAAAGTTAACAGTAGCACTTGGAAGAAATATAAAATTTTAGGTAATACAGTCCATTGAACTACTGCCACCCCAGGGAAGACAGAGAAATTTCTATTACTTTCTTGCAATTGTTTTTAAAATTAATTTTGCAACATTTTAATACTTTGTCTTAGTGACTGCTCCAACATGATTTGATATTTTGACCCTGGACAATTGCACCTTCAGTAATTAATTGATTGTTGTGCCTTGTTGCTTTGAATGTGTTTTTGGTGTTGATTTTTGTTTAACATTTTAGTGTGCTGCTTGGTTGGTTCTTTTTAAATATTTGTATACTCACTATTTTTAGCTTTTAAAAATGGTATTTTAATGATATAAGGCACCTTGAGTCCTTTTTAAAGAGAAAAGTGAGGAGATAAATACAGGCGTACCTCAGTTTACGAATTTAATGTGTTCTCCGGGATGTTTCATATTGCAAAAAATTCACAAACTGAAACACAATTTCCCACAGGAACGCATGCACGGGGCGGTGCTATAAACCTCCCAGGCGCCATGCAACCTGAGGAAACTTGCTTCATATTGTGGAAAAAAATTGTAAACCAAGGCATTATTTGATTGGATTTTCTTCCGTAAACCAAAAATTTCATTAACCAAGGTGTTTGTAAACTGAGGTACACCTGTAAATAAATAAATTTATCCAGGAGAAACAGAAATTTTAAAATACATTTTTTTTAGGTAGGTCTCAGCATTGGCAATGGTTATAGAGTCTTTTGGTTTGGTTTCCTTTAAAAGGTTTATGCTTTTTACCCTGTAATTCAGTGGTTCTATGTGGTAAATTGGGAAGTGCTTATCATGACAATCTCCATTGCCAGCTCCCCTGAATAACCAGAATCCAAAATACACCGGCAGGAAGATTGGTCTTTTGTAAAGTTAACGTCTCTAAATTAACCTTCCAAGACCACCCTGCCTCTGATCTTGTACATTACAGCAACAAGAACTTGTCACAATATAGTGTTGATTTCAGTGTATAGAGAAAGAGAGACGCCACCACTGCTAACAGCAGGAACTGCCAGGTCCTAAGAGAAGCCATTTTGTCCCGGGCCTCACCTCAGTCAAACATCATCCTGTCATGCACTGTCTAATATTTTTACCTCTTGCATTCCTTTGCCTCTCTTTTGCCACTTCTGCCAAACAGTGAGGAAGCCTCACAATGTAAAATGGCCTCGGCTTCTTTTGAACTCTCAGAAACCATGTAACTGGCTGTCATTTTGTTTTGTCAACAGTTTCCTCTACCTAGTGCCTTTTAAAGATACTGTAATTAGGTTTGGAAGAGGAGGGAGACAGCCCTCTAAATCAAAATAGTAGGAGAAATGGGGGGGGGAGTTCTGTAAAATTTCTGAGGGGATAGGAAAAAAGGGAAAAAAGCATGTTTCTCAGGAAGAATCTAGTGAAATTTTGCTTCAATGCTTGTAATTTTTGCTTGGTTCAGCAACTTTCCTCAAGCCTTCAAAATGCTACCCTTCTGAGGGAGTATTTTAAGTACATTTTCTCTGTACTACAGATGTTTATAATACCTTTTCTTCACTAAAAAATTTTTCAACAGGAACAGGGGAGGGCAATATTGAAGGTACAGTGAAAGAAAAGACACACACACACACACCTCAGTTACCTCCTGTGTAAGACATGCATAAGAATCCATGATAATTTTTCTGATATGTCTCCTCTTTTGATTTTCCCCCTATTTGAATAGAAT